TTTGGTTGCATGAGCCGCATTCAAAAAAAACTGAAGCCCCAGGCATTTATATTCAATTAATATACATCTGCACAACGACATGGAATCATATGGGAGATCTGGCGAAATGCCGGAAAAGGCACATACCTTGGAAGGTACATCTCGACCTGAACGTGCGTGAGACGCGGTCTGGATGAGAGGCTGTGATCAGATCAGCACACTCAAATCACGCCAAAAAACCAAACTCACAGTATCTCTTTTCTATGCGATGGATAGCTCTCACCCGGAATCTGACTGTGAAAATGAAGAGGTGACCGAATCAGTTTTATTCCCGTCCCTCTCTCTTTTTGAGGAAACCTCGGATTGCGAAAGCGGGCCCGAACCCCATTTCTTGTCTCCATGGGCGAAAACAAAGATCGGCACGTTCCAGGCCCGCTTAGAATTGGTGCTCAGAAAGAGAGAGCTGCGGGGCGTGGGGAAGTACGGCATCAGTTCTGTTTCATCTGCATTATTGATAAATATGGTAAACGAGTCCTTCGGCTTCAACGGCTGGCTGTCACAGATTCTCGACTGCCACATCGCAAGCCAGAATTTCGACGACGAGAAAAACGAGTATTCCATGGTGCAAACTGCGACGGTGCGGATCGTCCTTGATGATGGCACCGAAGTCGAGGCCAAGGGCAACGGCGAGGTACGTGGGTTGCCGTCAAAATACCAATGTCTCGGTACAAGCAGGAAGATGGCGTGCACCGATGGGCTCCGCAACGCGTTCTTGAAGTTTCCTGATTTGCTTCGCAGCGAGCGATCCATCAAAATCGAGCACATAGCGGAAGACCCTAGTAGTCCAACATCTCCAACTTAGGAAAGTCTCTGATTACCGGCGCGGGGATCTCGTCAATGAGATAGATTTCGCCATTGTCGTCGATTCTCTCGCGGTCCTTTTCACTCATGTTATGGATCTCCTGGATGTTTTCCCGCAAAAATACCGTGAGCTTGCCCCAGTTATGCTGAATCTGGTATGCCTGTTGCATCTTGTGTCTTCTTACCAAGCCTTCGATCAACCTCAAGGCGTCAGCCTCCGTTTGATCTAGTCTCTCAACCAACCTGCCAACAGATTTGATGAGGTACTCCTCCTCATAGATCGTGCCTTTCCTGCCCTTTGCGCGCTTTCTCTCCTCTCTCTTTCTGTTCTTTGATGTTTTTCTCGATGCGCCCGTTTTCGCTGTACCAGAAGTCTTGCCAGTATATTTAGTGAAGAACGAGGGCGTGGTGGAGGTTTCCGAGGCGGCCACAGAGACGTTGTCTGGCGTATCCAAATCGTCGTTGGGAATGCCGTAAAAAGCGTATGGGTCATCCTCCTTCTTCTGTCTCAATTCTCTCAACCTTTTCAACTGTGAGTTGGCCTGGCTGGTACAGTCGGCAAGGAGTTCGGCAATGACACCAAAGCTCTCATCGAGCTGCAGGTCAACAGTGCTCGCGATGAGATCGGTATGGTTTTTTTCTGTCGCCAAGAGAATGGCACTGTCGAATTGATAACTCATGCAGTGGAGTTTGATGGCCTCCTCGACATTCCCGAGGACTCTGAGCTCGATTTCAGCAGCGTCGGAGTATTTGTGGTCATCTACAAGCATGCTTGATAAGCGCTCGGCTGTTGAGATCACAAGCTCCTTTCCTGGAAGAGACTGTGCAATGGCGAGTGCTTCTTTCCATCTCATGCACAATACAAAGCTTTCAAGTGCTTGCTCGAGCGACCCAAGGTACTCGTAAATGACACCAGACTCACTATACTTCTTCTCTTCAACAAGATGCTCGGCGTATAGGGCCAATATGTGCTTGTTTCTCTGGTCGTCATACCTGTAAATAGCCAATGCATCTTTATAGAGGCTGTGTTTCACGACAAAATCGTCCAACTCCGCCACGGCCTCGTGGCCGAGCTCGTGCAACCAGCCCAAAGCTTTCGAGTAATGTTTCAAGTGATCGTCGATCAAGAATTGACGGCGCAAAGGGGTTTGCACGTGGAGGTTCTGTAAGAAGGGCAAGTACTCCTTGGGGTCCTTCTGCGACTTCTGGGCAATGTTCAACGCCATCTTAACGTCGTACAATTCCAAGGCATGGTCGTACAACTTGTTCACGTCCAGGAGGAAGCACAAATGCGTGATGGCCTTTTCGTGCTCATCTTCGTCTTCCAAGGCGCTGATGAGAGACAAGGCGCCCGGCAAGTTGGGCGGCGCCTGGCACGCGTACGCAGTGACTCTGGTTTGCAAGAACTGCGACTCGTATGGGGGCGCCGACAAGACCTCAAGCACCGCATTGCAGATCCTATTGATCTTGGACGAGGTCCTCGCGTCTTCCTTGTTGAAGATTATTCTCCGTGGGCTGGCGCTGGCAGGCTCGGCGTTGCGGGGCTCGAGCGACAACTTTGCGAGATCCAACAGCGGTGCCTGGCGCAAGGTGTCCCTGTATTTTGTCTGGGTGACGTCCTCCTCGTGCAAGCACGACACGAACAAGTCCAAGTAGTCAGCCCTGCCGATCTGCTTGACGAATAGCTCCACGTTGCTGTGGAACAAGGCCGGGTCGTAGTCGTGGAGCAAGTCCAAGTCGATGCGGTGGGTGCGGCACGCAACAAACGCGTTGCGGTAGTCGAGCGCCGCAATGAAGTTGCGGACCCCGGAGAGCACCATGATTCTCGGGCAGATGGTCTCCAAGTTGCCCCGCGGGGCCTGCAACACCACCGAGTACTTGGACGGGATGCACGAGACCAATACCAGGCCGCGCTCGATTTGGCGCACGCGCTCGTCGGCCGCGGCGGCAGTCTGGTTCTGGAGGAACGAGAACGTGGCGGGCTCGAGTACGTTCTTCAAGTGCACGAAGCACACCTGCGAGTGCGCGTTGGTCAAGACGAGGTGGTCCTGGGTAGCCTTGATTGAGGTGACGCCGCTGGCGAGGTGCGTGTCGTTGCCGTACAACTTGCCGTTGCCCGACACGCCGAGCGCCACCGGCTCCTCGCCCATGTCGCCCGAGACCATGCACACCTCGAAGTCGTGGCACAAGACCGGGAACTGGGCCACGCGGGCTGTGGCGCCCGCGGCCAGCACCTCGAGGAGCGAGCCGTCGACACACTCGGCCACGGCCGCGGCAAAGTCCGCGCGGGCCTTGAGCAACACGGCACGCACGCCAAGCTCGGCGGACGCCACGTGCGTGGCCGTCGCGTGCACGTCGAAGAGCTCGACGCGGGAGGCGCCCGGCGCGTCGACCAAGACGGCCACGGTCGTGTCGGCGATGAAACACACCTGCTTGACGACCTCGTCCGGCGTGGCGATGAGCGCACGGCCGATGGTGGCCACCGCGGGCTGCACGCCGCGGCGCATGTCCGCCGGCGAGACGCGGCACACGTGCACGTCGCCGGCGCAGGTAGCCACGGCAAACGCGTCGTTGGCGCGGTTCACGGCCGCGGCGCACAACGGCGCGTCGAAGTCGTAGTCGCGGTAGGCCATGGGCGGCGGCACGTTGGCGAGCGCGAGCGGCGTGACCTTGGCCTCGGCGCCGTCGATGACCACCACCATGCCCGCGTCACGCCCCGCCACCGTGGGCCCCGTCGCGGTCTGCTGCGCGAGGTTGTACACCCAGAGGCCCGCGCGCGACGTGCCCACCATCAAGTGGAGCGGCTTCTCCGGGTGGAAGCGCACGAACACCACCTCGTTGCGGGCGTCCGCGCCGCTGACCACGAGCTCCTGCTTGAGGTACCAGTGGTAGTTCTTGGAGGTCCAGAGCTGCACGCGGTCAGCGAGCTGGAGCGCCAACACCTCGCTGTTGCAGGCCCAGGCCAAGCCGGCCACGCGGCCCGCGGCCGCGTCGAGCCGCGTGTCGAACTCGCCGTGGCGCAAGCCGTTGCGCTCGAAGAACGCCACCTGGAGCACGGGCGCGCCGTCGTCGTCGTGGCCCCGCTGCGTCAGCGCAAGCACCGCGCCGGACGGCCGCCACGCCAACGCGTGCTCCACGCCGTCCGCGGGCTCCAGCACCGAGTGCAACGCGCCCTCGCGCGTGAACACGCGCACCACGCGCCGCGCCACGCACTCCAGCGTGGCCTCCACGAGCGCGTCCTCGAGCGTGGACACGGCCACGTACTCGCCGTCGCCGCGCCAGCTTACCGTGGCCGCGCCGGAGTCTGCGGGCGACGCCGTGCCGCGCTGCGCCGGCGCCACCGTGGGGTCGCGCAACGCCGCGTCCTCCTTCAAGTCATGCCCGCCGGCGTGGCGGATGGCCTCGCGCTCGCGCTCGAGCGCCCGGGCGCCCTTGCCGCGGAACTGCGTCTCGGCCGCGCCCCAGCCCACGGACAC